TATACTTACTTTGACTTGTTGCTGATAATACTTCTGTACTTTTACTTGTAATGGAGTATTTTGACATTAATGTATGCCCAGCTAGAAATGTTTGGTTCTAAAAACATTCTGAGAATGTTACAGTCATTGTTCTAGGAAGGTTTTCAGCGGGAAGTTTTATTTTGGTTCCCATAACGTTCTTCTGAAAGGTAGGATAACGTTCTCCAAAAACATTCTTAAAATGTTTGGTGATAACAGTGTTAGAACATTATGCCCTACTGTTCTTAAAACATTTTCAGCTGCAAGTTAGATTGTTTATGTTGCCAGAATGTTATTATTTTAGAGAAGGATAACATGGTTTATGTTAAAAAAAAGTATGCAAATGTTCTGTGGTAACAATTTACTAAAATATGTTTACATTATTAGAACATAAAGACATAATATTCCTGTAATTGTTCAACTCAAAATTCCTGGGTAAGTGGACTGACCACTGTGGTCATTAGGATGATTTTGATAGTTTACTTAACTATTGGAATTTGACTATTTACATATGTACAAGGATGACTCGGAATCAGCTGGTGAAAGTAACATTTGTTTATTAGAGTGGAGGTTGGTTATGGCGGCAGTGGGAAACAGTTGTTCCAGGGTGGGTGGAGAGGCCTGGCTGGTCTTGGGAGTGTGGAAGGCCTTGGATTCCTCCTGGGAGAGACACAAAAATGAGTGTGAGGCAAAAGCAGGCAAAGTTGTCAATGAATATGTTGGCAAAAAGCTAGAGCGGCACGCAACAAACCGTTCACGGGCAACAATCCGGCAGGGAATGAGTGCAGGCTGCAGGTTTTCATAGTGTGGCTGATGAGCAGGTTGCAGGTGTGGTTGATTGGAGATTGCTCCCAGCCGTGTCGAGCAGACCAGCAGGCAGGTGGGGGGGGGGGGGGGGGGGCACTAACCCACTAACAGGGGTTTCAGGGACGGGCAGTGATAGTCGGTCCGTTCTTCTATATGTCTGTCTTTGGTTTTCTAAGTGTTATTCGATCCATATGACCATAGAGATATGTGCATAAACAACAAAAACACTTGGGGTATAATGTTCGAACAATGTTATCACCAAACATTTTAAGAATGTTTTTAGAGAACGTTATCCTACCTTTCAGAAGTACATTCTAGAAACCAAAATAAAACTTCTCGATGAAACCATTCCTAGAACAATGAATGGTAACATTCTCAGAATGTTTTTAGAACCAACGATGTCTAGCTGGGAACTCAGACATGCCTACGCAAACGTGCAATATCATGAATTACGTGCTTGTTTTTTTCTAAAAAGGAAAATGTGGTGACATCAGATTTCTTTTAAACATCCTTTTCAAACAAATGCAGCAAGTTTGTTTTTTAAAGCGCACTACAAATAAATCTGACGTTGACCATGACAGTGTTAATATTTCGCATCACAGGAACGTTTTATAAAAAAATAATAACCTCCTGAAAACATTATCCAAATGTTGCTTTCAAAATGTTCTTCATTTGTTATCATGTAACATTGAGGGACCGTTGTATAAAGAACATCTTTAATGTGTTACCCAACAACGTCCAAAACACATCCTTAGAATGTTGGAGGCAAAACGTTCCACCTTTGCTGACTTATCACATTAAAGGAACGTTTTATAAATAAACTTTCTGTCATCTCAGGTGTCATAACATCCTGAAAATATTTTCAGAATGTTGCTTGGAGAATGTTCTTTATTTGTTATCATGAAACATTGAGGGACTGTTTTATAAAGAACATCTTTAATGTGTTACCCAACAACGTCCAAAACACATCCTTAGAATGTTGCAGGCAAAACGTTCCACCTTTGTTAACATATCACATTAAAGCAGGGGTGGGGAACCTTTTTCCTCTCAAGGGCCATTTCAATTTTTCCAACATCCTCAGAGGGCCGTACAAATGATTGACCTCTGCTTAAAAATACTAAAATCACAGCCCATTAATTTGGCCTTTCTTTCATGCTGTGCAAAGAAAAAGCAACCCCTTAATCCAGATATCTCACCATGACTCGCGCATGCACGTGCACGGTTGTGGCATGACCACCAAAACAGAAAGATGTGGACACAAGATGTGTGCAAATTTATTTAGTTTCCTATCCATGTGGACATGATTTAAGTGGGGGGGGACCTAACCTCCTCTAGGGGGGTCCGGGGGGCATGCTCCCCGGGAAGATTATTTTTTAAAAGTTGAAAGCATCAATCTGGTGCACTTTGAGAGCAAAATTAGGAGATCTATGGATACATCTCTCAACACCCATATGAAACAGAACTGTAAGCAGATTTATTTTTCTTTATGGATATTTTACAATCACTCCCCTTTCAAACTGTATTCGTGTTTATTAATAACAACTTTTTTTTATACCTGTTTACTTTTTTCTCTTATTTTTTATAACTATAATGATCATGTAAAGATGTGCCTTTACCTCACTGGTTGGAGAAAAAGCTTCTTATATTCGTTAGCATAGCTAGCTAACCAGATGCTAATAACAACAAAGTTATTGACAGATCGCCACTGGGCTTACAACTAAAACACAGCCATGCAAAAACTGCGGCATGTGTACGGCTCCTTATGGGTACTGCAATTTTTGGAAGTACCGGAGCCGCGTTCTGGTGCTCTCCGTCAGCACTACACCCCTGTCAGACCAGAGCCCTAGAGAGATAATCTCTCTAGGGCTCTGTGTCAGACGAGACATATACCACGTGATGACACGTTAGGCTCGTGTTGTATTCAAGGACCCTGACCTTGGCCAGGAAAAACAGGCACTCGCTTGTTTAATTTTTTTGCGGTCTAGATTTCTTTAATTTTTTTCTTTTTTGCGTGTGTACATAAATTACCTCGAGGGCCGTACCAAATTGTCTCGCGGGCCGTATACGACCCGGGGGCCGCAGGTTCCCCACCCCTGCATTAAAGGAACGTTTTATAAATAAACTTTCTGTCATCGCAGGCCTCAATAACATCCTCAAAACATCCTCTGAATGTTGCAGTTAAAACGTTATGTCTTAACCTTATAGGAACATTATTTGAAAAAATAAACATCCTAAAAAGGTTCTTTGAACATCAGATTAAAACGTTTCTTTAAAACCTTATTAGAACCAATAGGTAACGTTAGCCAAAGTTGTGAGAAAGTTCCCCGCTAGCTGGGTGGCTACTTTTACTCAAGTAAAAGATTTAAATACTTCTTCCACCTCTGATCATAGATATATTTCATATGATACTGTGATGGGCCTTTAGGCATAACAAATACTTTTACTTTCGGTACTTTAAGTATAATTTGATGCCAATACTTAAGTGATCTGAAAACTTCTTCCACCTCTGTATATAAATGTAGTGGAGTTTAAAGTACCACATTTCCCTCTGAGTAGCAAAACATGTAATCAAGTACAATTACCTCAGAATTGTACATGCAGGTCTGGTCAGGTCACTCCCGTAGCACGGTTGCCGTCGGGGCACTTCGATGACATCACCGGCCACCTCCTTACCCTCCCAGCTCTTAATGTCCATCAGGCATTCTCCCCTCGGCCTTCCTGCACCTCTTCTTCCCTCAACCTCACCACGCATGGTGGTGTTTGTAGCGACCAGTTGGCTCTTTTGATGTCCAAACACGTCACCCCGAGGATCCTCCTGTAGCAACGCATTTCAAAAGGCGTCTACTCTCTTTTCAATATTTGTGTTGAACTGTAGCCTTAATGTACATTCTTGATACTTGAATAGCTGTACTCACTTATTTCCACCACAACTGTCCTGCCAAACACAATGTGCAAACACAATAGGATTTAACTTGTACCACTCTTACTGGATCATGTATATATGCTGACAGTTATTTTACTCTTATTTTTATTTTCATAGTCTTTTATTATTATTATCATTATTTCCTTGATTTTATGTTATTTATAATTTATTTTAGATTTTATTGATCTGTGTGAATCTTTGCTGTACTGTTTTTTTCACGCTTACCCTGTTGCTGCTTTGTACAACTGAATTTCCCCTCGGGGATTAATAAAGGTTCATCTTATCTTATCTTATGTAACTTAAAGAAATGTCACACTTATTACTTTACAGAGAACTTTTAATCAAATCATTAAGATCTTTTCACAGCAGATACTTTAATTAGGAGTCTTTTCTTAAGTTATTGAAGTACATTTGGTTATTAAATTCACTGATTCACAACATGTCTGGGGATAGTTTCATTTATTATGAAGAATCATCCAGCTGTCCGAGCATTAAACAGGAGGAAACGTCAAGGCTTGTGCCAGCAGAGAAGTTTGTGAACATTTATCGAACAGTGACAATAACTGTTGTTAGATAACCAGGAAAGGTTAGATATAAGTGTACATAAATGACAGAACCATTGATGATGGTGGTGACAAATTCATTTGGTATTATTGTTTCATATGAAGGAGAGAAAAGTGATCAATGCCACACTAAAGTCCAATACCTATATTAGTGGTAAATACAGCTGTAGGTTGACAATTACATTTTAAAGCTTCCATGTTATAGATTCTAGCATTTAGTTCAACATTATAAAATGTCTCACTTTGTAAGACTATTTTTATTCTGAAGGTCTAATTGTTTTTCGGTGATTACCGAATTGAGTGTTCCGACGCCCTTTGTAGCAGCAATTAAACTTGATTTGATTTGACACCCATTGTGCGTTTATGATTTATATTTTATTTTCAAAAAAGCCTCCTCCTTAATATTATATGTACAGTGTAATCTCTCCAGGACCCCTCCATATTACACCGTTTATCCAACATTAAATGCTATGTTTAAGAAATAATGTGTAAACGTGAAAAACTGAATACCACTCTTGTGTCTGTATTTGAACCAGCAGCCAGTTAGCTTAGCATTAAGAATGGAAGCAGGGGGAAATAACTAGCCTTTCTTCCTTTTGAAAAAATGTAATAAGTAGCTAACCAAAAATACATCTTAACTGGATACCTTTACAGAATAAACTCCTCACTTCCTGCTCTGTCTCTTCCAGGTGGATGCTTTGCTTCGACAGACCGTCAATCCCGTCAGCCTTCCCTCACTGTCAGCCATTGTGATCTTAAACGACACTGTTTTGTGGACTGGTAACTTTGGAAAAAGGAATAGCAGTGACCCTCTCTCAGGTGCCCCAAATGAGTACACAATTTACAGGTGGGTACCCGATGAAAACTTTAAAATGTTATAAAATACACATTTTTAGCTTCATATTTGTATTTTGTGCCTCTATTGTGACATGTTTAAATGCTTTAATGTTCAAAAAGCTCTTTTTTTTCTCATACTGCCTGTGCTACACCTCTTTTCACCCTCTGTCTGAAACCTCTGTTGTGAGCAGTCAGCCACTTATGGCGCATTTCCACTGCAGCGCGTAGCACTGTTTAAGCGTGCCGTGCCAAACCCGGCCCGTTTTTTGTTGCGTTTCCACTAGGGGTAGTTCCGGCTAACGGGTACTGTCTCACAGTTGTTCTGGCTCTCCAAAATCCAGGTTCTTTCCGGGCTAAATATGCTAAACTAGTGAGAGAATCGCTGGCAAAGGGGCTACAACTGCAACAAAATGAACATATTTTACCTTGATTTAATTACACGTTTCAAAATGATGCCGAAGTAACAACATACTGATACCGGTTAGTAAAAACCATGAATTAATGCTTTGACAAGTCTGCAGACAGACGGCAGGCGAAAAACCTTTTTACAATGCGTGTTTTCTGAATGGAGATCGGCTAAGCTAACGCAGTATATGCACCGACCGTCTACACTCACAACAACGGCCTAGACAGACATAAATAAACCAGCGACTGTATTCGCCATGACACAGACAGTCTGTGGTTTGTACTTGTTTAACTTTTGTCTAGTTTTTGAATAGATATGAGAAGCTGTGAGCTCTGAGTGCTAACAGCTAACGGCTGATGTTGGTTTTCTGTGGTTCGCATTGAAGATGACGTCACGGCTCCGCCTACACTGCGTTACTATAGTTACTGCCCCAGCTACTAAACTGTAATGGAAACACAGCATAAAGTGAGCCTGGCCTACCAAGGCCTAACGATACCGTACTAAGCCGTGCGAGGCCCTGCAGTGGAAATGCGCCATTAGAGATGTCCCGCCCCTTAGCCATCCAGGGGGAGTGTGTAGAGAAACTATGGGATATTAGCATTGGCAGACAATTATCATCCACAAACACTCATATACTGTAACACTACAGGAAGGGAAACACCCCTAAAATCATAATAAGGCCTCTTTAAGTGATTCTGCTTAATTATCGAGAATGACTGTTTAAACCTCCTGCTGCCAGGAATCAAACTGGTGTTCAGTGTTAACTCCTCAAAGTCACTAAAAACCCACATCTCCATCTGACTTTGATGTCCTCAGTAGCTACCTTTTTTATTTTTCCTTTAATGGACTCTGTAGTTGATTCTGAAACATCTTCTTCCTGTGCTGCAGAGGAGGCGGCGTGTTTATTATAGGATGAGCATTATTAGATCACATTAATTCACTGTAATGGGCACATAAGCTCTGGATATAAATATTCTTCAGTCAGTGTATATCTGCAGAGTAGCTGACCTGACAGATGTGAAATTGATGTCGGAGCATCACAGGGATCATGTTACCCCTGGACGTCTGATGATTACGCTGAAGAGGCTTAGTTTAATGTTCAGAGTGTGCTAGAAAAGAAAAGCGACATGAAAAACCCTCTATAGGGAAAAAAGGACGGTGCCGAACTCTGAATGACTTTAACTGGGACATTTAAGCACAACATGTGTGCTCCTGCCATTTCTAATTTACTTTTAAAGTGTATTCTCCCATGTGAAGTACTCAGTGTTCGATTATTATGTTTATAAGAAAACGAGGACACAGTGTTAGGTGGTTTCTAGTGTCAGAATGAGCCAGCCTGTCTCTCAGATTGGAGGAATCTTTGCAGGCACAGATCGAAGGCACTGATTGTAAATATTTCAAGATGGATTACTTTAGGGGATAATTTATAGACCTGCCTGCCAGAGGAAAATATTCATTCGAAGGAGATCTGTGGGAAAGTGTAAGGCAATTAACAGGGTATTTTTTGAAGTACCACGTTTTTTTGGTTCATTACAGATATGATTTACTATTTAATATCACACTTATTTAGGACGCGTCTCTGTGGCACTCTATGTAGCCACACAATAAAATACAGTAAAAATCGAGCACGAATAATCAAAAGCCCTTTCTATATGTTAAATAAAATGGTAAAAGTTAGTCATACACAGTAGTGGAATGTAACTAAATACATTTACTCAAATACTGTACTTAACTAAAATGCAAAACGCAACATCTTGCAAGAAACAGCGTCTGAGGGCTTCTTCCTTTCATTTCAAACCTTTATTTATACAGATAAATTCCATTGAGATCATTGATCTCTTTTTCAAGGGAGACCTGCTCAAGTAGTTCCACATGAAACATAAAAACATAAATAGAACAACAAAAGGACATCATACAGCATCATTTACATAATTATCCACATAAACAGGTACCAATTGCTTCCGATTGAGTAGCATCCAACCGAGCTTTAAAAACATTTAGTGGCACCAGATTGTTCAGTTTCCATTTAATTTGCAGACTATTCCAAGACAGAGGAGCTGCGCATCTAAAAGCTGTCTTCCCTAAGACAGTCCTAGCAGTTGGCACATTTAATAAAACCACAGCATTCGATCTCAGGCAGTAGCCACTTACAATTTTCCGTGAGATCAGGGAGCAGATATAAGATGGAAGTTTCCCTAACATGGCTTTGTATATAAAAATGTACCAGTGACTGAGCCTCCGTACAGTTAGTGAAAGCAAACCAGCCCTTACATACAGGGTACAGTGATGGGTTAATGCTTTACAGTTTGTCACAAATCTTAGTGCGCTGTGATACGCAGCATCTAACTTGACCAGGCAATTGGCAGGTGCATTCATATACATTAAATCACCATAGTCCAGCACAGGTAAAAAGGTCACAGTGACTAGCCTTTTCCTTGCCTCAAGCGAGAAACAGGACTTGTTCCTGTAGAAGAAACCTAGCCTAACCCTCAGCTTTTTAAACAGGTTATTGACATGAAGTTTAAAAGTGAGACAATCATCAAGCCAGATACCAAGGTATTTGTAACAGGTAACCACTTCAATTTGTATTCCTTGCGTAGTTACAATATCTAAAACAGGCTCTGGTGTTTTTTTAGCTTTAGAAAAGAGCATTACCTTGGTTTTCTCAACATTTAAAAGAAGCTTTAGTTCAGAGAGCTGAGTCTGAATAATGTTAAAAACAGCCTGTAATTTAACACCAGCCTCCTTAATGGAGGGACCTGCACAGTACATCACGGTATCATCCGCATAAAAATGTAAAGTAGCTTCATCCACATTTTCACCTAAACTGTTGATGTAGATGGAGAATAAAAGTGGACCTAAAACAGAACCTTGGGGAACACCATTTGCAATGTCCAACCACTCAGAAGACAGCCCATCAAAATGAACACATTGGGACCTTTCAGAGAGGTAGTTCACAAACCACCCCACTGCATGGCTGGACATGCCTATACTGGCTAGCCTCTGCTTTAAGATGCGATGATCGACGGTGTCAAACGCTTTTGAAAGGTCAATAAATAGAGCTGAACAACTCTGCTTATTATCTAAAATACTCGCCACATCATTCACCACTTTCATTGTGGCAGTGATGGTGCTGTGTTGCTTTCTGAAGCCTGACTGATGTTTAGACAGGATGTCATTTGTACATAAAAACACCTTTACCTGTTCACTCACTAAGCGTTCAAGAACTTTAGCCAGAACTAATAACTTAGAGATTGGCCTATAGTTATTTAATAAGGTGGCCTCACCTCCTTTTAGCAAAGGCAGGACATACGCTGACTTCCACAATTTTGGAATTGTGTTAGTGCTGAGGGAGAGGTTAAAAAGAGTAGTGAGAGGTGGAGCAATAACATCTGCAGCTATCTTTAAAAAGAAAGGTTCTACGTTGTCCGGGCCAGCCGGTTTCTTAGGATCTAACTTGGTTAAAGCTTCACGAACAACATCAACAGTAAAAGGGGTAAAACTAAAAGGGTTTTCTAACACACGTTTTTCAGAGTCACATACTGTAGTGTTCACAGAAGCAGAGTTAGTGTCAGAATCAAATAGAGAACCACAGGACACAAAATGCTCATTAAAGCAATTTAGCATAGTAGCCCTGTCCGATATAGAGCCAGATGCTGTGGTAATGCACGGAGGTAGCTCATTACGGATATCGCCGGTGGATAACGATTTAATGGCTTTCCAAAATTTTCCAGGATTATTCAGATTCTTTGTGGTTACTGACAGATAGTACTTTGATTTAGCACTTTTGATATGTGAAGTGAAGCTATTTCTTAGCTGCCTAAAATGCAGCCATTCTACCTCTGAGCCTGATTTCCTAGCCTTTGCCCAGGCCTTGTTTCTCTCATGAAGGCGACTGGACAGATTAGCAGAAAACCAAGGATTGTCTCGTCCCTTTACTCTAAATGTACGCAGGGGTGCATGTCTATCAATGATCTCCATAAAACCAAGATAAAAATAAGACCATGCGGTTTCTACATCAGCACACAGATCGATTTTACCCCAATCAAAATCAAACAGATCATGCACAAAACCCTGCTCCACAAAATGTTTTTTGTCTCTCTTAATAATAATGCGAGGTTTAACCTTTTGGACCTTAGTGTCCCTAATTGTGGCTACAACACAGTGTTCACTCAGATCATTTGCAAATACTCCCACAGATGAATATTTATGGGGAACATTAGTTAAAATGAGATAAATTAGGGAGGATTTATTAGGGGACTTAATGTTAGGGCGAGTAGGACTGTCAACAATCTGAGTAACATTCAAAGAGATACAAAGGTTTTTAAAATCCTCTGACACTGCAGTTAACCAGTCCCAGTTAAAATCTCCAAGTAGCACTATTTCCTTGTAGTCTAGTTGTGATAAAAGATTTGCTAGTGAAGACAAGGAGTCTTTGACAGCTGAGGGGGGTCTGTAACAACTCATTACCATGACCTGTTGACCCTTTGCCACTTCTATATTTATGGCTAAAAATGTAAATTGCTTACTGATCGATTTGGAAACTAATGTGGTTACACTGAACTTATTCTTAACATAAATGGCAACGCCACCACCTTTATTAG